ATCACCATAAATAGCGGAGTTCACTTCTCAGCCATTAGCGGCCACTTAGCGGTATATTTTTGTATGGTTGTTATGGTTATATTCTCATTTTTTCGGTCTCATTTGATAGAATGAAAGATATATTACAGAAATAGATATGATTTTGATTGCTTTCATGACAAAAAGTACCTTGAAATTGCGCTCACAGTAGCGGAAATGTTCTATTCTTTAGCGAAGCTCAAGAGTAAACAAATGACGTCACCGTCCAATACCTGTCCGCCTGCCAGTCTAAATTCCAATACGGAGTCAAGAATGGATTGACATTATTTATACAATTATTACAATAATGCAGTAGTCTGCATAACAGTAAATCTTCTATTTTTTGTGAATAAAAATTCCAAATGGTAAGCAAGAGTAATATAAGAGGGGCTTGTAGCCGTGACTAATGAACAGAGAAAATGTTATTTTAGTGCCAGGAACGTCTGCATTGTTTATTCTGGATCCTATTTTGAAATTGGCATCTGTTGAAATTTGTGTGAAATCGGCCAAATTGCCAATTTCTGACCACTTTATTGGGTAGTTGAAATAAGTGAATGGGCGGTTTCTTGTACGTACTCAGTTGACAGACTAGAAGTAAATAAGTTTATTCAGGTATACACAAATACAGTTACATAGATTATCATACATAGCAGTGTATGTATAGAGAACCTATGATAACCCAGAAAAGTCAGACAAAGTGACTTATTTCCAGTACCTGGCTTGGGCTTGCCATATATGATTTTTGGTAAATATTTTTTTTTCTTGGTTGTTTGTTGGGCTATCTCATTGAAACTTGGGCAATGTATGATGGAAAGATGCTTCTTAACGTACAACAAAAATAAAAAAGATGGACGATAAATAAGGGAGTACACTTCTCAGCCATTAGCCGCCTCTTTGCAATATATTTTCAAATGGTTTTTATGGTTGTATTCTCATTTTTTTGGACTCATTTGATAGAATGGAAGATATATTACAGAAACAGACATGATTTTGATTGTTTTCATGACAAAAAGTACCTTGAAATTGAGCTCAAAGTAGCGGAAATGTTCGATTTTTGCCGATGTTCAATGAGCTGTGTAAGTCAGGTTGGTTAATTTTATTAAGTGTATTCTAACTTAACCACTCTGTAATTCGGCAAACTCTGTAATCTGGCACACTACAGGTCCCAATGATGCCGGATTTGTGATGGAGGACCTGTACATGTATGTAGTCCCTCTGGGCTATACCTACTGGCTACCTGCACTGCAGAACACAGCCATATTATTACCATCGACACCATGTTCACTGAGTTTAATCATTTCTAACAACTACCTTTAGATGCCATCGTAAGCAAAGGGAGAAGTAATGAATAATTCATGCCAAGAATTGTAAACAAACGCATATGAAGGGCGGTGACTGAGCCAGATGCCAGTTTCACAATTTTCTCTAATGCTGAATCAGAGAAAACATAATGTTTACTCTCCACCTGACTTGCCACTCACAATGTTTATATGCTATGTTTATATACTATATGCTGTGTAACATAAAATTTTGAAGAAAATATCATAGATGGTTTAATGAAAATGTCTATATTAACCTAAAATTAGACATTTAATGTGCCCAAGAGTGATTATTATTAAACCTACATTGCATGTTTTTATATACTATGTAACATGTTTCTTATATAATTTTGAAGAAAATATCATAGATGGATTAATGAAAATGCCCATATTAACATAAAATAAGACATTTAATGTGCCCAAGAATGAGTCACGAATGTATGAGCAGCCCAGGTGAACGCGTCTGGTACCAACAATTTCCAAGCGGATGCATGAAGTATGGGGGGAAATTTCGCTGAAAAAAGTGCTTGATTTCCGAATTGGCCAATTTCTGCACTGGCCAAAAACTGGAGGTCCACTGTATACTCTAGAATGAATAAAATAGGCCATAATATGGCGAGTGTCTAGGACCAGTCCAAGCATATAAAATCATTACTGCTCCTTCCTGTAACGTGTTCTTTGGTTCTGGGTAAGAGAAAACAGAGTTTGAGAGGCTAACTGCACTAGATCACTAGTGCAGTGATATATGAATATCTCAGAAGTAAGTTATTAACTTATTTCATGAAGCCCACCATTTATTATTGAAGTACTGTAAATGCAATAATATTGATTGGAATCATAAAAAAATGACTGTTCTATAATTGGCTTGTGGAATATTGGAAATATTCCAAATAGTTTGGGATTTGTGTGGGAATAAAGGGCAAGATATTTTGCAAATGTCCAAAACTTAGCAACTTTATTTTCTTGTAGATAATTACACGATTACCTCCATTGAGAACATTGCACTAGCATTGTTTTATAAGTACCAAGTCCCAAAACCACCTTTTGTTGTGCCATTTAGGCAGGGGTTCTTGTCAAATGTCGTTTTCAGTAAATTTTTTCTTTTTCTGTAAATATTTTTTTTTTCGCTCGTAACTCAGATTTTGGCTCACGACTCAAAGCAAAAAATCAACCGAGAGACGGCTCATACCTCAGATAACTTGTAAGTTGGGGCACTCATAAGTCAGAGTACCACTGTATATTTAAGAAAATGTTTTATATTCAGATTATTTTAAGTCAAAATATTAATAAAAATGTCTGAGGTTCATTATTTAAAATTTTCTCATATTCTTACATTCAAAGATATGAATTTCATTGTTTGGATGAAGGGAAATAGTGCAAGTGTGCGTATGGCTTATGTTATCCCTTTTCCTATGTATAATACTATGCCATATAAATTTTTTTGTTATTTTAAAATTTATGCTTGTGTTTTAATGTCTAAGTTTTCTTTAACCCTTAAACTATGTCCAACATACTAGTACACAAATGCTGTCTGCGCCCAATGTACATTTTCTTACCCACAAATCTGCTGCCTGCCAGTATTTTTGAACTCGGCACAACTTTTGTCTCTTCATCCACCTGTTCGCACGTATGAAAAAATCTATGGCCTGCAGGGTCCACACAATGTATCATGGTTAACTACTCAGGTGATAACTGTATGTCCGATGTGCTATTAAGTCCAGCTAGCAACAGTAAAGAAAACCATGAGCTGTTGTTCCTCCCCCAGCTTTCCTACCAGCAAACAAGGTATGCAAGTGGCACAAAGATGACTTATTCATTTCAGATTTATTACAGTTTTGTGATACAGTATAATTCAGTCACAAAGCACACTAAGTATATTTAGTCCTGGATCACCCAGTTAAGTCAATGTAAATAACTTGCATGTTTTGAGGTGTATTACACTCCTGTCCTTAGAAGAGAAAAATAATAACAACAGTTACACAGTGTATATACAGCCTCTCCTCACTTAACGATGTACTCGTCTATTGCCGACTGGGACTTACAACAGGCTCTCTGACCAGTATGCATACCTAAATAATGTATATTAGAGCTGATTGCCTCTATTCTGTTTATTACAATATACAGTTTACTACTGTATAAACATTTAAAAATATATTAAAAATGTTATAAATGATGCGAAGGTGACATTAAAATCATATCAAAGATGGTTGACAAAAACTCACTACCATTATATAGTATGCTCCTCACTTAGCAGTGAATTCGTTTACCAATGTGGCCTTAGGAACAGAACTCTGTAATATCAAATATGATATTTTTGTAGGGGCTGCAGCATGGGAACCCCAACTTCTACACACCATAAAATCAAAAGTTTTTGTCAGATTCCACTCAATTTAGTCATATTTGAGTCAGAAAAAATTAACTATATCAGACTATAATAAAAAATTTCAAAATGTTCCCAAAGATAGGAATTTTTTTCCAGGGTATCCCACAGTTTAAGGGTTAAACATCCAGGTTGCCATTAAAATAATAATCTCATTTACTGGCTTTATATTTACATATGCACTTATCAGTTTTCATTTTTTCCATAATTTATTGCTTTATCATAAATTTGCTCATTTAACCAAAAGTAAAAAGAAACCTTAACATTTTTTATGTTGATAGTTTTTGTGGTATTACATGTACATAGTTTATAATACCATACTTAAAACTGGAGGTGGGAAGTACAGTGCCTTCACTTTAAAGGAGGGGTTTGGGATATTGGCTGTTTGGAGGGACATGTAAACTGTCGTATCTGAGTGCCTCTGCAAAGACAGCAATTATGTATGAATGATGGTGAAAGTGTTGAACAATGATGAGTTTTTTCTTTCTTTTCGAGTTTTTCTTTCTTTTGGGTTACCCTGCCTCGGTGGGAGATGGCCGATGTGTTAAAAAAAAAATTGAAACTGTTTCAAAATTGTTTCTGTTCCCATTGATTCCCTTCTCCCTTGTTATAAGGATAATAACCTCGAAAGATCCTTGGATTAGCAATAAAAAAATTGCAGTTGGTCCCATTCTTAGTGTTCCAGGTTTACTAATTTCTTGAAACCTATCCCATCAGTCATCTCAGCTCTTGAGATAAAGTTTAAAATACATTCAAGGCATGACTAGTTTGAGTGGAGTGGTTAGAGAGTAGCCAGGGAAATTATGTATTTAAGGCAGTTAGAGTAAATGGTAAGATTTTTAAAATCTAGGCAAAGGCAGAGTAATTGAGTAATTAGTCCACTGTGAAGTAATGGTCATTTATTGTTGAGATTTATGTCGTACAGCATATGAGAAATAAGTAAGTCTTAAGGAAAGGAAGGAAAAGTTCATGTAGGTTAATATTTTGTACTCAAGCAACCTACTTTAAAGTTCTTAAATAAAAAAGAGAAATGTGCATTATGCTGCATATATGAACTTCAAAGAGGTTTAGGATAACATCATTAGAAATTGTTTCAGTACACACAAGTAAGTGGTCATCGTTGTATTTACTGTGTCCAATTTTATTAAAAATATGTGATGTTAAATATATTTGGCATTCTATGTTTAATGAGTTCCAACATCTACAAAATAAACCAGTGATTTAGTAATAGTGTAAAGATATTAATATAAAAAAGAAGGTGTTAAGCTTGCGCTCTTTCACAGTAGGAACTCCTCTTCATAGTGGTTCAAATGCTATCTGTGGAGGAGGCGACACCAACCAAGAAGGTAACCTAAATTATCCTTGGCAGCTACCATAAGCAGTATTATATTTCTAACCATTGTAATCTAAGTATTGTATGTTAAAACATGTTATTTCCGGTAATTTTTGGACTGAGATCATGTTGATTATGAGTAACTTGTGTATTAGACTTTTTAACAACAGTGTAGACCTATACAGAACATGGAATTTTAAACAAATTGAGCAATTTTGCAGCAGGTTATAAAAAAAAGTGACAATTTTTGTGGAGAAAAATGGCACATGCCAAAATATCGCATAGTCAAACAACAGTAAGTCGGGATTGACTGGGGCCATTGGTGATCTGACCTAATCTTGCCATCTGACCTGACCTGATACCGAAATTAAGGGGAAAAAATTCAAAGATAAACCTGACTAAAATATATATATATATATATATATATATATATATATATATATATATATATATATATATATTATATATATATATATATATATATATATATATATATATATATATATATATATATATATATATATATATATATATATATATATATATATATATATATATATATATATAATATATATATATATATATATATATATATATATATATATATATATATATATATATATATATATATATAAAGATATATATAAAGGTACTCATCAGTGTCTGTTGCCTTTATCAAATGAAGTGTTAGGTAAGGTTAAAAGTTGAAGTATTTGTGTTAAACATGAAATACTTTCATAAATACAATATAGTAGAATTTGCCATTGACATGTTGCAACAGGTATACCCATATTAACATTTACTAGTAGTTTTATGCTTTATCAAGCACTTTAATGTAACTCTCATGTTAAGAAACGTTATAAGGCAAAATATCATCTTTAAACACACACTCCTTGAAAAATTCAGATTTTGACATTAATACTCTATTTTGCCAAGCATATTCACTTTAACATTTATTTTTATCATATTCCCTACTACAGGTTGGCCATCGCTAATCCGGCATCATCGGGACCTGTAGGGTGCCAGATTAGTGATTTTACCGGATTACAGAGTGGCAATATTTATGCATCGGCAATTTCCATCATTTTATACCCTACTTTTGGCCCATCCCATTGTTCCAGTCTACCAAACTCAGCTATTTCGCTAGTATTCCTTCTATCTGTCGATTGAGTACAAGAAGCTGCCCATTTACCTATTTCAACTACCCAATAAAGTGGTCAGAATTCGGTAATTTGGCCAATTTCACACAAATTTCAAGAGATGCCAATTTCAAAATAGGGTCTAGAATAAACAGTGCAGACATTCCTAGCACTAAGATAACATTTTGTCTGTTCATTAGTCACGTCTCCAGGCCCCTCTTATATTACGCTTGCTTTCCATTTTGAATTTTTATTCACACAAAAAAACAGAAGATTTACTGTTATGCAGACTGCTGTATTATTGTAATGATTGTATAAATAATGTCAGCCCATTCATGACTGTGCATTAGATTGGTCAGTTGGACACACATTGGACGGTGATGTCATTTTGTTTACTCTTGAACGTTGACAAATATCAAACATTTCCACTATTTTGAACTCGGTTTTTAAGTATGTACTTTCCGGCATGAAACCAATCAAAATTACATGTATATCCATTTCTGTAATGTATCTTCCATTCTATCAAATGAGACCAAAAATTGAGAATACAACCATACAAACCATAGGAAAATGCACTGCAAAATTGATGTCTTACACCAAAAGCACAGTTGCCTATTTTTATTATTATGCACTGCGTGCCACAGGATTTTTTTTATATAGTGCACACTTGCCACACAGACCTATTCTCTCATATGTAGGCCCAAATTTACTGGTCACAGCTTTTCTGAGTGAGCTGAGCTCATGGCTACTGACAGTGGCTTCAAAGCCACCTTATCTTGTATGGACCGTGTATTGTATATATACTTTACACAATAAGAAGCATTTCTTTTATTCACTGGAACCATGGATAGGGCTAAAAGTGAGCAGGTTATAACAATAAATGGAGAAAAAGGAATTGGAATGACTTATGCAGCAACCCCACAAATTTGAAATTATGCTAGCCGAAATTAGTGCTGGATTACTGATGAAACCCGATTACTGATTGCCGGATTAGTAATGGCCAACCTGTACTAACTTCCATTACAGTGCACGAGCATACATGCAAGGCTTTGGTTATAAATTTTGTCATAAATATACTGTATATTGTAGTTACTCTTACATGACTAAAATGCAGTACAGTCAAATCAAAAAGCCCTAGGCAAAAGGCTCCGTTTACCACGTCTTAACAAATAGCTAGCTGCTGATGGGCTTCAGGACAAGATGCCTTGAATTTGCACTCTCCTGCCTTCCCTTGCTTCTAGCATCAGCCTACTGAGGCTGTTGGCAAGCCAATGGCCAGACTGCTTGCTAAACAGAGTATGGAGTTACAGACTTCATCTGAATAAATAACCTTATTATCTTTGTACTAAAATAAATATTCCAGTTAACCAAGAAATCAGGTTCCAAAATTTTGGTGTTTGATTGTACAGCCGAAGTATTCCTGGACTTGAAAGATATTATATAAAACAAAGAAAGGAAGTGTTCACTTAAAAAATATTGAATCTAGAGAGTACATTTTTTCAAGGATGCTAGCATGGTTGGACTACATCCCAGACACATGACACTTCTTAAGAATTATAAATGTGCAAAGTTTCTTTAACTGTGAAAGAAAATAGTTGTTTCAGTTATTGTAATTTTTTAATAAAGTAAAACCATTAAGTCTAGTAAAATACTACAATATTATTATGATCACATAGTGATCATAATAATATTATACTGATTTAAGAAAAGGCTCTTGTAGCATCATTAGTTGTGGTGTAAGAGTGAGCCATTTCAAAAAACCCTTGTGTTAACTGTTAAAAATTATAAAATTTTAAATTTTGAAGAAAAGCAATTTTTTTTTTTTTTTTTTTTAATTTGCAAATATTACTTAAATTACTTTTATTGAAATTTTAAAATGTTTAGCAAATTAATACCAGAATCATAACTGACACTAAGCCAAAACAAATCTAGCAGTAGCTTTGCTCTAAACTTCAGCTTACCTTTCATGTGATACCCTCACCATGCAGTATCATTAGTTTTGAATTGGTATTGCCCAAAAATAATATCTGGATACTTGAATCTGCTGTCTACTGGAATACCGGATATAACATGTTTTTCTGTACCAGAAGCCTTGATAATCTAATGTTGTTTGATCTTAGTGTTGATTAATATATTGAATTTTTTGTAGCCTTTGTTTTATAGGCTGAATTAACTTGCTTTACAGTACATATAATCCCAAAAACTTTGACTTCAGTGAATATTTTTTGTACAACTTTTTTTTTCATTGGAGTGACTTGTATAGTAGCTATATATGATAAGTTTTTCCACTTTGTCGTTCCTAAAGGAATCTAATTAAAAAGAGCAGTTATACGAAGGAAATGGAATTCTCATAATCTGGAAATTCTTCCTTTGTATTTCACTATACTATTTGTGATATAGTGCAGCATCAGTATTATATTAGTTATGATTCATCATATAGCAGAAATAATATCTCTAACTTTTTGCATTTAACTCTTAGAACTTGTATATATCAGCACTAGATTCAGTGGAATAGATTAAAGGCACTACATAGGCCATGGGGTTAGTTTGAAGTAAAAATGGAGACCTTGGTGATTTTGAGTAAAGATAATTAAGGTAACAGTAACAAGAGAATATTAATAAGATGTGTGGAATTAGACTTATTAATCAGCTGAAAATGTAGTAGAAAGAGTGAAGTATGTTGATGTAGTTGTGATGGTTTTATGAGTTGTTGAAATAGAGGGTTAATAATGATGATAACAATAACTAACAATACCAATAATAATTACCAGTATTCATAATATATTTGGCATGATTTTAAGGAAACAGTGGTTGGATGAGTTTTTTTTTTCATGAAACTCGTGGTATGCACATCAATTTAGGCACAAGGTAATAAACATAAAAAAGTATCACATTGTATGTGTAAGATAATGTTACTATAGTAGGCTACCCATTATCCAGATTTTAATGTATTTGAAGCATATCTAGGTACAATATTTCACTGAAGGTCTCTCACTTATTTTTACTGTAATTAACCCTTAAACTGTCCAAATGTAGATCTACGTTCGCCTGTGTGGCGCTTCAAATATTTTGAAAAATAAAAAAATCTTTTTTTGTTTTTAAATTAAAGAGGGGTATTTTCTGTGTGGTATAAGACCAAAAAAAAAAAATTAGGACCAGCACTTACCGAGATATAAGACTGTGAAGTTGGCTCTGGATGCTCACCTGACGGCAACATCCAGTTCTGCCACTTGCAGAAATTGCCGATTTGCCTTTTTTTCTCGTTTTTATTTTAATTGATATAATTTTTATGTTCTGATAATTACAATTTATAACAGTTCTTGTGATTTCATAGCCAATCTTTGTTCTGACACTAATATTATTTACTGAAATAGTACTCAAATGGTAACAGTCACACTGACAGATGAACATTTTCACCTGCCCTGGTCATTTACTATTGTCTAGAAATATATACAAAGTATTTATAGGTCCCAGCAATGTTTTAGACATGCTGGAGTATGAATCTCCTTGAAGCATGGTGTTATGACAAGGGTCAGAATGTGCACTTCTGGAGGGAGGAACCTTGCCTTTATATGTTTTTACTCTTGCACACAAACATGTCTTTGTTTGTCTGTCTGTCAGTCTATCTATTTGCCTATCTGTCTGCCTGTCTATCTGTACATCTGTCTGCCTATCTGTCTCTCCACCTAGTTCTGCTTATCTGTCTGTCCAGTTCAGCTTATCTGTCTTTGTCTTCTGTGTGTGCCTGGAGTGTAATATGAACTTGAATAATTATGTTATGACAGTGCCAGATAACAGTGACATTTGATGAATATGCACTGCTGGAGGGGGAGCCTTGCCTTTACATGTTTTTACTCTTGCACGCAAACATGTCTCTGTATGTCTGCCTGTCTGTCTATCTGTACATCTATCTGTCTGTACATCTATCTGTCTATTGGTACATCTATCTGTCTGTCTACCTGTACATCTATCTATCTGTACATCTATCTGTCTATCTGTTTGCCTAGCTCTGCTTATCTGTCTGTCTTGTTCTGCTTATATGTCTTTTTGTCTGCCTGTGTGTGCCTGTCTTTCCATCTGCTTGTCTGTTTCAGGGAGCAGCTAGTAAACCTGTTGGTTTGTGGTGTATGAGCCGCTCCTTGATTGCTGAGCAAGTGACACTTATTATTTGTGTCGTGTTTATGTCTTATATCTACAAACACTATATAGCACTTGGCCTGGAATTTTTGGGTTATCCTAGTTAATTTACATTAT